GAAGGCATTGTTATCATAGGAGGTAACAGCTCCATGTGTGTTATTGCCTTTGAAGACCTTCCAGTGGGACAAGATGTGGAAGTGGAAGACAGTAATACTGATGATCCTGAGCCTAATGTAGGCCAATGTTAATGTGCGTTTGTCTTAGTTTTTAACAAAAGAGTTTAAAAAGCTAAAGTTTAAAAAGTTTTTAACAAAAGAGTTTAGAAAAAAGCTTACAGAAAAGGATATAAAAATACTTTTGTACAGCTGTACAATGTGTTTGTGTTTTAAGCTAAGTGTTATCACAAAAGAATCTAAACATTTATGAAGTAAAAAAGTTACAGTAAGCTAGGATTAATTTATTATTTATTAATTTATTATTTTTATCTTTTATACTATATCTGTATCTTTTCTATGTTTAGATACACAAATTCTTACCATTGTGTTACAACTTCCTACAGCATTCAGTACAGTACAGTAACATGCTATACAGGTTTGTAGCCTATAAAACCATACCATACAGCCTATATGCCATATAGGTGTGTAACAGGCTACATATCATCTAGGTTTGTATAGGTATACTCTGTGCTGTGTCTGCACAATCACGAAATCACCTAAAGACACATTTCTCATAGAGTATCTCCTTCATTAAGTGACTGTACAATCCTGTCAGCCACTAAAGATATATAAAAGTGTTCTAATCCTAAAAATTTTTTTTTTTTTTTTTTGCGACAGAGTCTCACTCTTTTGCCCGGGCTAGAGTGAGTGCCGTGGCATCAGCCTAGCTCATAGCAATCTCAAACTCCTGGGCTCAAGTGATCCTTCTGCCTCAGCCTCCCGAGTAGCTGGGACTACAGGCATGCGTCACCATGCCCGGCTAATTTTTTTCTATATATTTTTAGTTGTCCAATTAATTTCTTTCTATTTTTAGTAGAGACAGGGTCTCGCTCTTGCTCAGGCTGGTTTCAAACTCCTGAGCTCAAACAATCCGCCCGCCTCGGCCTCCCAGAGTGCTAGGATTACAGGCGTGGGCCACCACGCCCGGCCTAATCCTAAAAATTCTTAATCTGAGAGTGTTTCTTAGCAAATCTCAAAGTTTCCATAAACTAGCTATCTCCCTCCTTTTAAGGTAAACAAAATCTCCATATTCTGTTTCAAGTTTTTTCAAGTGTCCCATTAACTAATAGTGGTAAAAGCATGAGTATAAAGAGAAGTCACAATTTCAATCGTTCTTATTCTCAACCTAAGTTTCTCTAAATAAGAAAACTTAAATCACAAATATTCTAAGTAGATTCTAATCTCTTTCACCCTAGGGACTCAATTATTTTTTCCCAAGAGTAAATATAGGTCCTGCCAGTCAAATTTGATTTTCACTATACTGTCAGGTTCCTTACTACTGCGATTAGGTCAATCGGCTGGCCTGGAACAAAAGGAAAGTGGAGAAGTAAAAGGATTCTTTTGACTTTTAAATAACCCAAATTAAAGTCTACTTTCTATCAAGGAACAATAGTTAACCTGTTCAGCAGTTGTGTGTATATGACAGAGAGAAACAGAGAGACACACAGAGATAAAGAGAGAAACATAAAGAAGAACATATACAACATATTAATAAGGTATGGTATCATCTTTCTTTAAAAACAGCATGATTACACATATGCTTAAATAAATTAATGTTCCCATCTTGAAAATAGCAGAATAAACAATTATAATTCCATTTTGGAAAAAAAAACATAATAGGGAAGCAGAAAGACATAAGGCAATGGAAAGATGAGTGAACACTCTGTCATAAAGTAACATCAACAAACAAAAACCCTGACTCTAGCAAATTCTAACTATTTTTTTCCAATTTAAATAATTAATTGAAAGGCAAACATATTCGGTGATAGAAACTAATCATTTTAATGAGAAATTAACAAAATCAACAATAACTGCCTTATAAACGAGTGCTCCTATGATTTAAAAGACAACACAGCACTTGCTCAAGTTTACAGTGACCTCAGTTGCTATAGAAATTCAAACTTTTAGACCTGGAGCCTCATTTAACACAACTAACTAAACACTTCTACTTGAAGCTTCTTCATATAGCTACCAAGACATTACAATTAAACCAGTTTTCTTCCTTCTTAGGCTTCTTCTATTTGGGTCTCAACACCTCTTCTACCAAATTCTCAATAATGAGTGTCCCAGAACTTGGTCCTGAGGTCCTTTCTCCCCAACACTCTAACCAAAGGTGATGTCATCATGGCTTTATTTACTTACAACACTCTATTTCATCTAGGCTCAGAATCCCTTATTCAAAATCGTTGGGACAAAGTATGTTTTGGAATTCAAAGTATTTTTTACTTTTTAAATAAAGATAGATAGTATAAAAAATACAATATTTTTCATAATACTACCAGCAGGATCTGTAGTGGCATCTGTTTATCAAACACATGAATATTTCTAAAGGAAAACATATACAGGATAAATAAAGACTATAAACTGCCTCGTACCAGTTCAGGTCAAGTTTTGCTGCCAAATGAATCTGAGAAAAAAGCACTTTGGTTTTCAGAGCTTTTGGGATTCAGAATTGTGGACAAGGGTCTACAGACATTATGTCCAGCCCAGATTACTTGGCTCCTCCAATACTGCCCACTTGGTATCTCTTGGGCATCTCAAAATTAGTATGTTCAAAATTAAATATCTGATCCTCTCCCCTCCCATCAAACAGTTCTTCATCTAGTCTTTCCCATTTGTCTCTGCTCGCACAGACTTAACAAGATAAAACCTGGAAGTGATCTTCATCTCCCTCAGAATTCTTCAACCCACCCCATCCCTGCCATTTCCAATGCCCTCACTTCTCTCCTTCTCCAAGTCCACCACACTGGCCCTCATATCCTTACCTGACCACAATACTGTCTGCCAAACTGGACTCCTGAATCTCCACTGGCCATACTATAATCAGTTCTTCACAAAAGTGCCAGATTTATCTTTTAAAATGCAGATCACATCATGTCGCATCCCTGCCTAAAACCCTTAGTAGGTGGCTTCAAGCTGCTCTTAGAAGAAAACGTAATCTTGACTAAAACTTGGTCCTTGTCTATCTCTTCAACCTCATTTCTCACCACTATTCCCCCTTACTCAGCTTTTAGTAAGCATTTTCTTACCATTGGGCATTCATACCCAAAGCCAGGAACACTCTTGCCCTATTACTCATTCTTCAGATCTCAGTTTTAAATGTCACTTCTGCAAAAAGGCCTTTCATGACTCCCTAATCTAAATTAGGTCACTCCTACTATTCTGTCTCATGGAAGTCTATTCTTTTCCTTTGTGACACTTAACAATAATTTATAAACTTTATATTTAAGCATGTATTCAATGCCTGCCTCCCTCCTATATACTATAAACTCCACCTAGAACAGGGAGATATTTGTCTTATTTACATATATACTGTATACACCCAGCATCTCACACAGAGCCTACTATATGGTAGGTAAAGATGGATGTGCATATGTACTCATACCAGCATGTAAGCCTTTGGTTTCTGAGATATGAGTCGTTAACCACTTCAAGTTAGAAGACAAAAAGAAGACCTAGATTTCAAAAAATCAGATTCATAAAGTCCTTCTTTCATACTTACTGAGTACCTATCATAAGCTGGAACTATTTTAAATGCTAAGGATATAATAGAAAATTAAACAAAATAAATCCCTGTTCTCACAGAACTGACATTTTAGTGGAGGAAGACAGACAATAAAAAATACGGGTAAAAGAGCCAATGTGCCTCATCATGTTTCTAGGCCCTCAGACGTGATGACTAAGAACATTCCAAGAAGCAGTTCATCCACCAGCCTCAGTACCAGGGTAAGGACAATGTAGACTCGGACTTGGGGCGGGGGGAAGGGCAACATACGTAACCTAAACATCTGTACATTTCATAATATGCTGAAATAAAAAAAAAAAAGACAATGTAGAAAAGAGCTACAGCCAATCCATGAGGAACACGCAGCATGAGAAAGAAAGAAACCCTTGATATTGCAAGCCACTGAGACTTCTGGGGCCCTTAGTCACCTCAGCATAGCTAATCCGACATGACTGACACAGGAAATAAAATTTCTGGTATATGAGATGATATTAAGTACTAAAGAAGAAAATAAAACAAGAAAGAGGACAAGAAGGGTAAGGGTGAAAATGTTAGGTATGATTCATAAAAGGCACCCACCTTAAACCAGCTCTGTAATTAAGGCACTAAGAACACTATACCAGATATAATTTATCCCAAGCTAATGGAAGGCAGACATTTTTGTCTGTCTTCCTTCACCTAAATATAAATTCTATGAGAGCAGGGGTTTTTAGTTATTTTATTTACTACTATAGTGTTAGCACTGAATCACTTCCAATTTTCTTCCTAGTCAGAAGTAAATCCACACACAAGACTAACAATTGGCACTGTCTTCATCATCTACCAATGCCCTCCTTTTCCCTAATTATCTTTTTTTTTTTTAAGAGATAGGGTCTCACTCTCTGTCTCCCAGGCTGGAATGCCATGGTGTGACCATAGCTCACTATAGCCTTGAACTCTTGGGATCAAGCGATCCTCCTGCCTCAGCCTCCCAAGCAGCTGGGACTACAGATGCATACCACCATGCCTGGCTAATTTTTTTTTTTTTTTTAATTTTTTTGTAGAGACAAGGTCTTGCTGTGTTGGCCAGGCTGGTCTCAAACTCCTGGTCTCAAGCAATCCTTCCACCTTGATCTCCCAAAGTGCTGGGATTACAGGCATGAGCCACCGCACCCGCCCCAATTATCTTTAAACAGCTTCTTCTAATCTATCTGAATAATTGCTTTGACATTATAATTATTACATCTTGGTTCTTGATCTCCAAAACAAGATGCATATTTTTTAAACAGTATCATTAAAACATTGAGATTGTGCATTTTAAAATTTCTAATACTAAAAAATTATATGATAGAAAAATTACATTTAATTAGTATACATAAACATCCTGTTTTCCGATTTAAAGCCTTAAAATACCAACCTGAGCTGTTTCTGTCATCTTCTGTTCAAAATCAGCTTTTGCTAATGCATATTTTTCCACATAAAGTTTATAAGTATCTGTAGCTTTCTTAGATTTAACAGCTGCCTGTAATAAAACAAAAACATTTTTAATTGTGCATTTAACTTTTTTCTTTCCTAATATAAGTTACTATAAAATAACAAATTAAGATACATTTTAAGAGTTCCATATGACACATACCTAACTTTAATACCTGTTATAAAGCCCTCCTTAGTCATTTTTTTGTTAGTCACACAATAACTCAGGAATTAAACAATGATTCTCCTTTCTGATGGAATGTGCTTTGAATAGTTAAAATACTCTCTTTTTATATCCCAGAGTAAGACTGTATAACCAAGTTATAATGGTACAGTGTTACTAAAAATATGTTAACACACTATGAGAAAGAAATTTTCTGACAATATATAAAGATGTCACAATACAATCAGAACATGCTTGACACTCCTTTCTATGCCTCTGCGTCTTCCTTTCTCCCCCACACATACATAAATTTCATTTATTGTCTGATTAAAGACGATAAACCTAGCTCAAAAGTTGATCAGTTTTCCTTAACATTTCTCAGTTTCCATTATGCTCCAGCAAATATAGAAATTTGTTTTTAATCTTTGCCTATTTTTTCAAGACTTCTATATTTTTCTAAAAAACTATTACTGCAAAATTATAGTTCTAGTTTTATCAAGTTATTCAATAAAAAATTAATAACATTAAATATCAGGCAGTAAAGAACATGAAGATGAGTTATACAGGAAAGTACTGTACAACTTACATATAAACAGCTAGAAATTGGTAGAAAGTAACAAAGCCAGAGAAGCCAAGATAAATTCTAGGGAAGACAGACATTCAGGGAAGGAAAAGCCTATGTGTAGATTACAGGTTGCAGCAGACACATGCTATCAAGAAACTTGACTATCTTCAAAGGACTGATCAGTTTGGATATAGGAAGATGGAGTGATGGGGATGGAGTAAATAAGAGTTTAAAGAAGATCAGGCCAGGCACAGTGGGTCATGCCTGTAATCCCAGTTCTTTGGGAGACCAAGGTAGGAGGATCACTTAAGGCCAGGGCTTCAAGACCAGCCTGGGCATCACAGTGAGAGCCTATCTCTACAAAAAAATTAAAAAATTACCTGGGCATGGTGGCACCTGCCTGTAGCCCCAGTTATTACATTTGGGAGGCTGAGGCAGGAGGATCTCACTTGGGCCTAGGGGTTTGAGGTTTCCATGAGCTATGATGATACCACTGCACTCTAGCCTAGGCAACAGACCAAGACCGTCTCAAAAGAAAAAAATTCTGACTCTATCATTTATAGTAGTTCCACCTGATCTGTGGGAGATACATTCCAAGATCCCCAGTGGATGCCTGAAACCACAGATGGTACCAAACCCTATACTATATACTATGATTTTTCCTACTACGTACATACCTATGATAAAGTTTAATATATAAATTAGGCACAGTAAGATACTAACAACAATAACTAATAATAGAACAATTGTAATAACATACAATATATAAATTATAATAAAAGTTATGTGAATATGGTCTCTCTCTCTCAAAATATCTTATTGTACTGTACTGCAGATAATTAGAACCGAGGAAAGGGAAAATACAGACAAAGAAAGAACTACTGTACTACCCATTTGACCTTGTCTTTAAACTTTATATAGTTATGTCATTCCTAAAATGGGAACAATACCATCTATTTTATTAAAGCTGTGGTAATGATGAAATGTAACTATGTAAAATGCTTGGGACAGGGTCTGGCATATAGCTAAATTTATAAAATAAACAGTACCCTGCTATTACTATGGTTTCTAACAAGGAAACATCATATAACAAGAATATACGTTACTATATTTTGATGTTATATAAGGATATATCTGAGTTATTGAGTTGTACTGAGTTGTCCATCCCTAGAGAAAGTGACTAAAACCTGCAACAATTTTCTAGTTTGCTCCTATAGATTTTTCTTTTATTACTCCTTTTCCATGTCCAACCTTTTGACATTATTTTGTATCACTGATACTATACTTCCTATAACAACCTGGCCCTGTTCAAACACATAACAAGATAAAATGGATATTTAGAGTTTACTAAGTACCTTCCCAGAAAACCCAGATAACCAAGTTTGCTAGAATTTATTTTAGAAACAATTCTAATGGCACGTTTCCAGTCTATATAAGAGCAATCAACAACCTACAGTCCACAGAGTGATTTTTAATGACACAGCCTAGCAAAATGATGTAGCCCCACTGGTAGCTCCTTCTTCTTTGCTTGTTCCTCATCCTAATACCCACTCTTTTTCTCTGATGCCCATTAAATTATTGCTTAATAACTTATGTGCCAGCTTTTGACAGACATGAGTTGAGATCACTCCTACTAGAGATATATGCAATTTGAAAGAAGACTTATAAAAATGGAAAATTACAAAAATATAATGATTGTGTCTATACTTCTAAAAATAATTTATTTCATGGAATCTTTCCTGTACCCTTTTCTTTTTATGTGTTTTCTTTTTACAGATTCTGTACAAGATACTTCCCCTTCTCAGCTTACCATTCAACCCTCTCTCTAACCTCTTGTTCTGCACTATTTAATAATGTCTTGGCTCTCTAAGAAAAAGGAAGCTTCTTGAAGACAGAGTCAATTACATGTATTTAGACTTCAATATCCTTCATAGCATCTAGCATGGTCTAGCCATTCAACTCAGCATACAAATTTATTCGTTCACTACTCCTGGCCATAAAATTATTATCTTTATCTCAGAGGTTAAGAGCTGGATCTAAGTCAAAATTATAAACACCTAAGTTTTGTGGGGCATACGCTCTGAAACCAGGCAACTATAAAACTTGAAAGCATGAAGGAAGAAAGAAGGTGCCCTTTTTTAAGTTCTAACTTCTATTTTTTACATCAGCTGTCACTTTTGAAAGGTAAAACTAATGTGCCAGAATCTTAAGGAAATTACACACCAACTTTAAGCAGCATCTTAGAAAACTGACAAGAGAAGCCCTAATTAATTACTGGGAATAAGATTTAGAAAATAATTTGTTGATTTACAAGATGTTTTAAGAATCACAAAAACAAATTTAAAGAAAATTAAGTGTATCATATAAAAGGATGTAGAGGTAATTTTTAGATGATTTTGTACTGGAAACATCTGTATTTTTTGAAAGCAAAAAACCTCTCTCATAGGAAACAGCCACACAATACTAAGTTATTAAGTCAAAACAACTTTCTAAGTAGCATATATGCTTAGTAATGCTATAAATTCTTACAGTAGAATTACAGAAACTGAATGCCCTGGTAGTAACAAACTTGACGACTTTTGCAAAGTCATTATTTAAAAAGAAGTTAGAACATTTGTTCTTAAGAGAAAACTGTGCTTTGAAAGCAACAGTTAACATTTCTTCTCAAAAATAAAAGACTGGCTTTAATACATTATCTATTAATAATAAAACAAATTCTACATTTTATTCATTTCCTTGGCATAAAAATTAATTTACTGATATACTACCAGAAATGTTTCTGTTTAAGTGCCTATAATTTTTATAGTACAATCCTGTGAGGCAAATATATACACATAAAATAAGTACTCAGTCACAATCCATAAACAGAGCCTACTAAATGGTGTTTTATAAAAATAAGTGTTTGTGAGTGAGGATGAGAAGCATACTATGTTATAATAGCCATAGTACTTATGTTTTCAAGTTCATCAAAGGAAAAATGATTCAGGGATCTATGTCTAAAAAAAAAATCTACATTTATGTTAATAAAAAGCTTATTATTATAGGCCAAAATAAATTACTTACCCAGACCTAGATTAGGATATAATATAAATCAGAGCATGAACTAACAACACCTAGTATCGCAAGCAGAGATGCCACCTCTAAGCAGACCAATTAGAGAAAAGTCCCCCTTCCTCTGAGCTGCCCACCCCACCAAAGGCAAGTGAAGCATAAGCTGGATTTCAGCCAGCAATTTATAACCCTTGGACTTAACCATATGCTACAGTCCCACTCAGTATGTTAATAAAAAAGAAATCCTTTAATTTCATTTAAAGTGTACCTTACATTAAACTTTTTCTGGCTTACATCAAAAGACTCAGAATCTTTTTTTAAGTGTAACTCCAGTCATCATATATTTTTCAAGAGGACGCTAGATACTAGGTACTATGTTAAGCCTACTAGGTTTCACAAAAAAGAATAGAGAGCAGTATTTTAACCGAGGAGTATTTTAATTCTCTGGACAGTTTCAACTAATTTAGATAGTAAACATCTGCATTAATGATATGTAAGCCATACCAATTCACTGTTTGGCAGTTTGTTACAGTATGTACTATCAGTAAATGCCCCTATGGCTTATATTTTTTAAAGTCATTATTTTGAAATATGGTCAGCTTCATACCATATTTGCTCTTATACTTTTTATTTTTTGGAAAAAAATTAAATATCACATAGACAAATGAGGCCCCATGTTCTTCCCAGTCCCATTCCTACTCAAAGGTAATTTTCATAACATGCTTAGTGCTTACTGTCCCCATGCATGTCCCTAAAACACATTTAGTTATACATAAATAGTATTTTTTACAGAGCATTAAAGGTTATGTAAAAGGCATCAAATGCTACATATTCTTCTTAAGCTTTGCTTTTCTTGCTCAACATTATGCTTTTTAGATTTACCCATGTTAACACATGTCATTCTAGGTTTTTTTACTTCTATAATAGAAATTTTAGAACACACAAAATAAGTATAACAGACCCCATGAATCCAACCCCCAGCTTCAATATTGCTTCTCCTCTTCTCCAACTTTTTTTTGCTAGAGTATTTTAATCCCAGATCTATCATTTCACCCCATTTATTAACTGTTCATTTATTGACCTGCTATATAGCATTCCATCATGAAACATTCACACTTGACAATTAATCTATTATTAGAGGAATTGCTATGGTTTGAATGTTTATCCCCTCCAAAACTCATGCTGAAATTTAATTCCCAATGTGGTGGGGTATTGAGAGGTGTGCCCTTGAAGAGGTGATTGGATCATGAGGGCTCTGCCCTTAGGAATGGATTGATCCATTCATGGAGTCATGTGTTATCACGGGAGTAGGACTGGTGGCTTTATAAGGGAAGAGAAACCTGAGCTAGCACACTCAGCACCCTCACCATGTGATGCCCTGTACCACCATGTGATGCCCTGTACCACCATGTGACTCTGCAGAGTCTCCACCAGCAAGAAGGCCCTCACCAGATGCAGCCCTTTGACTCTGGACTTCTCAGCTTCCATAACTGTAAGAAATTCCTTTTTGTAATAAATTACTCAATTTCATGTATTCTGTTATAAGCAAGAGAAAATGAACTAAGACAGAAGTCTAATTTATTTACATGTATTATAATTATTGGTAAATTTGGATTTATTTCTTTCAAATTATTTTGAGTTTTCTGTTTACTAACACAGTATTTCTTAAAAGTACTCCATTATTATCTCTAGATTGTCTTCTAAGCACTTTATCTTACCAGAAGGTGTCAATAAAAAATTTTCAAACAACAATCAAAACTATTCCTTCCTCAAATGGTCCTTAAATGGTCAGTTAACTGAAATATCAAAGCATTGCAGCTGTCCAATCATGCAACCAAATTTACACAGGCAATGAAACTATACCATAAATGCCACCTTACCAACAATTATACAATATCATCAACTGAAAATGCATTCTGATTTCATATGAGGAAAAACAAATACCTCCTAGCTTTTAATATTTTCTTTTTTTCTGGTGTCTAATTTTTCTGAATTTATCTTTATTTAAACTGTTTAATACCTACAATGTACTTTCAATATGAGGACTCTTGAATTTCTTCAATTCTGAAACAATTCTGAACTATTGACTCTTCATATATTACTTGCCCCCAACTCCTCCATTTTTTTCCTTCTTAAATTCATACCACATAAATGGTAGTCTTTATTTCTCCATACTATGTTCTGAGTGAAGTTTCTCAGTACTATCTTCCAAATTTACTCTTTGACTATATCAAGTCTAAAGTTTCTCTTATCTATTGCTTTTTTAAAATTTCAAGAACTGTATTTTTCATTTCCAAGTTTTCTAATTAGCTGTTTTTTCCTATCTAGTAGATCTTGTTTCACTATGCCTCTTAATTTCTTAATCTTCTTTAACGTAAATTTATATTTACTTGAAAATCCTCTATACACAAATGTTTTTGTTCATCTTTTATAATTTTTTTTTTTTCTTTTTCATACAGAGTCTCACTCTGTTGCCCAGCTAAAGTGCAATGGTGTCATCATAGCTCATTGCAACCTCAAACTCCCGGGCTCATGCGATTCTCCTGCCTCAGCCCTGAGTAGCTAGGACTACAAGTGTGTGTCATGACGCCCAACTAATTCTTCTATTTTTTTGTAGAGATGGGGTCTTGCTCTTACTCAGGCTGGTCTCAAACTCCTGAACTCAAGCAATGCTTCCACCTCGGCCTCCCAAAGTGCTGGAATTACAGGCGTTAGCCACCATGCCCAGCCACAAATTTAAATTTCATCTGGAGTGAATTCTTACTCTAATTTTGAAATTTACTTGATGTCTTAGTTTTAGATTTCTTAAATGTGCTCTGGAATTTTGGTTGTTTGCTCATTCTGAGTGGGAGGATTTTTTATTTTTTGTCCCCCTCTTCTCTTCTCTCTCTCCTTCCATCATTACTGCAGAACAACTTCATAGAATACAAAGTAAATGGTACCTCCTAGAAGTGTTATGCTTTATCCTTTATACTCACTCATCCCTAACAAATAGTTTTCAGGTTATCTTCTGCCAGCCCTCCAAGGCCCCAATTTAGTTTCAGTCATATAAAGGTAGTTTTTAATTATTTCCCTGCAAGAAAATTGGGGATATGGCCAAAACAGTCATGAATTAGTTCCTTGGCTTGATTCCCAGTCAGGATTGTGTCTCTGTACCTAAACCCCGAACTTCCAATAGGCCTTTAACCCTAGTCAGCAGCCCAAAAGCCTTTTCTCCCGATCTACAGCTTCAGGTAGTGGGCCATGCTCTTCATATCTCACCTCAAAAGCAAAACATTTAGTCCCCTTTACCATGTAAGAGCCAAATTCTACTGCCCACTTTAAGACTTCTGAGTCCAACAATCCTGCATAATTAATGTCTACATGCCACTCTGGATTTCTGTTCTATTTCTGGTCCACAGAAATAATATTCTTCTTTTTGGACTCTGCTATTTTGTTTTGTTTTCTCTTTTTATATTTTATTCACAATTGCTGTGTCTGAAACTTAGAGGGTGTTTTCAAACCATTAACTTACTGTGTCTCACCTTTTTACTCCCTCCAAATTTTTATTTATTGTGCAAACATGAAAAGAAATATATTGTTCCAAATTCCATCAACCATTTTGATTTTTCCACATTCTCTTCTAATTTTTGCTCATTTATATACACTTTCATAGTCATAATCATATGATAGGTACAATATGGTTTTCTTTTTTACTGGATATTTCAAATATTTTACCAAGCTTTCAAAATTATCACTTCCCATGGCCTATTCCTAAATGAGATATACCACATCAAATAAGTAAATGGTTAGTTTAAACTGTTTTGAAAGGAGAAAAAAACAACCTATTTTCAATTAAAATGTGAGTGGGGGGAAAAGGTTGTGGTTTACCACAATGCAACTGAATGTGGTCAAAGTCAGCAATAAATCACCCACAACATACATTTAAAGCTTATCTTCATGTATCTATGCCTTTCTAAGTATACTAAAATCTTGCTTCAAAAAATTTTCACCTCATTGTTGTATCTTATACCAAGTAGTTATCTCGTTAATTATCTTACTATAAAAATATCCTACAAATGTGTCACAGACATTAAAAAATGACTGTTTTTTTATGTGTTAGCTAATCTATTTGTCAGACAATATATTTTACAAATCTACTATGTTACTTAGGTAAATCACTAACACTATAAGGCACACTGTCTTCATTTTTATTTAAATTTTTTTTTTATTAAGAACCTTCCCCTACCCCTCAAAGAATTTTCCATGTCTTTCTTTCCTCCATTCATTATAATACCTGTCAACTGAAAGGTTAAATAACAGGTACTACAACTTAACAAAATTTAAAATTAGTTTTATTCTAAGCCAAGTTTGAGGACTAATAGCCTGGGAGCATAGACTCAGCAAAAACAAAGATGTGTTTTCCCCAGTGGACTATACAAGCACAGTATTTACATATCTGTTACACAGAAAATGAGAGAAGGGGGCAGGGAAGCACAGGTGACATTCTTAACAATTCTGACAGATGCTTTTCCGTGGTGAGCAGGTCTATGCAAACCTACCCCCAAAGGCCAAAGCAGCTAAGAGGCCAAAGAAAGAGGTTTACATATCCAGTTTCTCAGAAAGAAACATTTAATAGGAATTTACGAACAGAAGCCATGTCTCAGGTAGCCACGAGACATGATGGTGGATCTCTGTCTGCCTTGATGTTAAAAAAAGATCACATTTTAGTGTGATGTGAAGATGAAATGCAGTCTTGTTTGTCAAAGTGCTTTGAAACCACAGAGGCGTTATTTTTATTACAATTACCTTTTCTATTTCTCTTTGTGTAGCTCCTTCCTTTTTCAAACGCTCCTGTTCTACACACTTGGCATTGTAATTTTCCTTGGCTTTCTGGAGGGCCTGAGTTATGCTCTGAATGGTTTGGACAGCTTCCAGAGTTCCTGCAACTTCTTCTTTAGTCTGTTTGGTATAAAATGATTCATCAAAATGACTGAACTGTAAAGCATTCAATATCTGACCAATCAATCCTTTAACAAGAAAAAACTGATACCTTTTTATGAGATTTTACTTGTTCTTCTCCATACTTCTGAACTTCCTTTATTAATTCTTGTAATTTTCTAACAAGATCCAAGTGACAATTTGCTAATTTCTCTGTAGATGTTCTGAACACATCCCACACTGGTGCAAATGTTCTAAGGAAAAGGAAAAACGTGGGAATAATTTACTAAAAGAAAAAAAAAGTTTAAGGTTCTAAGATAGAACCAATGGAAATAATAATGGCATATCTAACAATTTTATTTAGGCAAAAGATGAAATTAAGATAAATAATGAATGAAAGGATCGAGAAACTGACTTTAATTTTTTGATCACTGTTTAATTACTTAAAATATTTTTAGGCCTCAGGAACATAGAAATGGGTCAATTACATATCACAGGTCTTGCCACAGCCCCTCTTACTTAGTTATATTGTATTAATTTCTGAGTTGATGTGGTTATTTAGACTTCTATCAGAAGCCCTTCTATCACCATTTATTGTTAAAAATTGACTCTATTATCAAACTTCAACTTAAAACTATTCTGTACTCCATTTAAAATGCTTCATCAAAAATAAAGTTTCTCTGAATTTAAACATGCGAAGTCAAATTTTTACACACGATTTTGTAAATGTCTTCATCATTAATAATTATATAAGAATTATTTTAGGGCAGTTATCTGAAACCTTTGGTTGGGTATTATAATTTTATCTACCTGTGTACTTCAATAATACACTAAAAGAGTTATCTTTCTACTACAAGGTATGGGTTATGTGATATACTTTCCTACCACTTTTTCTCAATATTAAGGATTTAAAATGTTCAGCAGGCTCAAGTACATCTAAGAATTACTATATTCTCGTATCTTGAATATGTAGGATGCCAACGGTTAGTTTAAACTGATTTGGTCTGTAGACAATGACCTAAGGATAATTTTATCCTATGCTTTGCTCAGGTACTACCTTTAAAGTAGTCTCTACGGTAAAACTTCTAATAGAAAACAAACAAAAAGAGCAGCAATGCTTGCTAAGGCAAGAGGACAGAGAAAGCAATTACTTATTCTAACACGTATTCTGTGCCAATTATTACATTTCCTATCCAGCAGGAAAGTTAACTGGTGACAATCATTTTATGCATTAATAAAGAAGCTCAAAGAGGATAACTAAAATCCTTAGAAAAGGACTGTTCTGATTAGATCTCATCTCACACTGTAAAAATCTAATCCGCACTAAATCTGGCAAGTATATTAGATGGAAAATTGCAAGAGAAAAAAAATACCTGAAAATTATCCACTTACTAAAGCACCCAAATGCATGTATGTGACTTCATATAAACCTGATACACGATAGTTTAGACTTCACAAAGCAGATAAGATGGAGTAATCCCTTACTTTACTAAAGGATTCCTTATACTGCAAAGGGTTCAACATAAGATTTCTTTAAATACAGGTTTAAGGAGGAATTTCAAGTATCATTCAATTTTTAAAAGTTTGATATACACAACTATTTTGTGGTCAAGTAATACACATTACTGTATACATTAATAAGCACTAAGAAAGAAGACTGACGAATCCAAAATGTGTTTAAATACAACTGAAAACCGAAAGACAAAATTCAATTTCTTGCTAAAATATGCAACAGCAAATAAAAACATGAATATTTAAAATCTTCATGATTTTGAGAAATGACACTAACAAAAAAGACTATACTACCTATTATTTATGAAAAGCACACATTTTGAAGATATTAATATTGTCAGTAACTTTGTTATTAGGAAACATTGTTGAAGTTAATTCATGTTCCTTTTATCTTCCACCTGGTAAGTAAGAATAGGGTAGAATTTTCTATAATAAAACCATGGTCAATTGGTTAAAGCTAGCTTTTGTTATTCCAGTTACTTTCTGACCCCTCTACTGTGGTAAAGAAGAAATTATGTTTTAGAAGAGGCATATCATCATGGAGCCTCTAGAAAACAGGAGAGTGTCAGAAAAGTGAGAAGGGAAGCTGAAAAAGAAGGAAGAAGGAAGTTGAAGCAGAGGGAGGTGAGGGAAGAAGAAACAGGAGGACAGATGGGAGGGGAAAAAACCAAAACTAGTTATCAACTACCAGTCTCGATTCTCCTCTAGGTGAAAAAGGTGGTAGCTCCTCAGCTTTCCCAGCCACTGTGGGCTGTCAGTACATGCGTAATAAACAGTGCCACACTGAGGATGAACTGATATTCCAACTCCTTTTTGCCCAGGACACAAAGTAGGGAGACTTTTGTTTAAACCCATTCAACAACACTGTAGAATACTTACATAAAATAGTCATTCTGAACCCTTTCTTTGGATCACAGAATTATCTGTGAATCTGATCATTGATATAGATCTTCACTGGAATATGAATACCTACATAAAATTTTGCATAAAATTTCATTTATCAGAATCCCAGATATAGAGGAATTCTTTACTGAATATCACTGCAAAAGTTTTTTAAAATGTTAGACTAATTATTTCAACATTTTAGCTAAAAAATAACTTTTCCTCAATTTTTGATAATTAAATCAGATTAAACATTTCTTCCAGAGTTGTTACGGTTCAGATTATACAATTATTCTTTCCATAGTTGTTATGGCAATGAGCACATCTCATTTTAAATGTATTCTTATTATTAATTTTCATTTTTTAAGGAATATCTTTCTTCAAAACAGATTTTTAAAAGCAAGATTTAATGATAGTCTATAAAATCACAGAAGACATTTTTAATGCATTTGAATTTCAACAAGGTTTATCTTAGTGAGTTTTTAAAGATCACTTTTAATCTACAACAGAATTTAAATGAATTTACAGACAACTAGAATAAATACTTTGTATGTACATAAGATAACATGTATAACTTAAAACTTACATTACTGAATGACTAGTTTAATAAAAGGGAAAAATAAGTTTCATTTACTACATTAACTGATTCAGTAAATTCAATTATATTTTCGATTAAGAATATATTCATACTGAACACATTTTTAATAAACACATTTTACTATACTTATGAACTATTACATCCTCAATAGAAACCTAACATTCTCAAGAACTCTGCCTAAATGAACATTGAAAAAGAGGAAGAAATTAACTCACCCAAGTTGTGAATAATTACTTGCAGATTTTGCTAGTTTTGTCATTGACCTGGAATATGCCTCTTCTATTGTAGCTCTGTTAAATCAAATTTCCACATTATAATACCTTGTTTAGTGACCAAAAACATAGCAAAATTATCAAAACACAATTAAAATTGCAGAAACAAAAGGATACCTCAAATTATGTGTTAAAAGTAAGTAGGCATATGCAGTCATGAATTCTGGCCTATCTTTAAATGTCATTTGTACACAACTACTTTAAAAAACTAGTCTGGTATAGAACTAAAATAATTTATATCACAAAAAATGTTAACAAAGTCGTAACTTTTTAGCTTTAGTGCCAATGTTTATTTCAACAGGAAGTACAAGAGTGCTGTTGCTTCTATTTTCTCTATAAATGATTCACTGTGATAAGTCATTTGTATTTAATACTTCCTTGGTGTATTTAATATAGTTTTATCATTCTTCAACACTGTGATGCACATTTAATAGAATAAGAGATTGATGACAGCCATTTGCACAAAACAAAATGTGAATCATTAGCAAGTGTGAGATCATGAACTTCAGGTCTTAATTTATTTTGTAATTAGATTGAAAATATTAACAAATAAGCGTTTCGCATTAGAAAACTTTGTTTTATGTAACTACTATTGAGCATATAAGATTCTAGGTTTAAAAGATAATCAAAACCATTAAATATGGAATAAAAAAACCACAAATTATTCTATAGACACATAATCTATAAATACAAAATATGAGGCTGCCTTGGCCTTCTTAACACTATAAAACTTAAGTCATAGTTTTACTTTTCCCATAATTATCCTGGCCCTTTTCAATATGTGCTACCTTTAATAGGGAACATTATATAAGCACCACTGTCCTTCCATTTACTTTGATAGGTTCAACTAACTTTCTGCTTCTAATGTCCAAACCCAGATCTCCACACTGCTCTTGCACCGAACCATCTGTTCAGTATCTAACTGTCCCAAGCATAACTATACTTAGATATCTGAACCACCTCAAACTCAAAATATCCAAACTAAACTCATCTCCAAACTCTTTCCCAACCCCATCCCCACAAAAACCAGCTCTCTAACAAAAAGGAAACATTACCAGTAACTACCTCTCACTAATAGTACTGTGATTTTTTTCCTGCTCCTTTAAAATTTTCTATATGTTAAAATAATACCATATTATAATACATGAGTAGTACTTTGGTCATCTAAAAAAGTTAATAAAGAAATATTAATATACCAATGGATAAGTTTAATAGCAAGAAAAAGTGGTTCACTTTCCAGTACTGGCTAAGAATCTCTAATCCAGAAATCCAAAATGCTCTAAAACCTGAAACTTTTTGAGTGCCAAAACGACACTAATGAGCAGAAAATTTCACACCTGACCTCATGTGACAAGTTGTAGTCAAAATATAGTCAAAATTTTGTTTCACGCACAAAATCATTTAAAATATGCCATAAAATTACCTTCAAGCTATGTGTACAAGGTATATATAGGAAACATAAATGAATTTCATGTTTAGACTTGGGTCCCATTCTCAAGAGACCTCATTATATATATGCAAATATTACAAAATCTGAAAAACTCCTTAAAACATTTCTGTTCTCAAGCATTTTGGATAAGGGGTACTCAAACTGAAATAGTGAGTAAAGATTATTAATACAAAAAACTCCCATTGAGGAAAATTAGAAAAACATGGGAAACCGGGGGGGGGGGGGGGGGGGGTGACTGAAAACATCAGACAATTTAAGATGCAGTTAAGAATCAGTAGGCCAAGATCCAAGAGAAGGATATCAGAGAAGTGTGTTAGGTATGTGGGGCAGCTTTTCCCTTGGGGGCACCGAGAAGAGGCAGCTGAGAAGCTGAGAAGTGAAGAAGAGCTTTTTACAGCCTCACAAGGCAAAGGAGACAAAACTTAAAAGAGTTCAGATCCACCAAAGGTAGAAAGCATGGGAAATCCCATGCCCTCTGACATTCCAAAAGAATTTCAGTAGAGAACCAAAAATCATTTTAAGGAGTGCACAAACGCACACCAAATTTGAAAAAAAAAAAATTATAAACTATTGATCTGAAAAATACAATAACCAACATTAATATCCCAATGGATGGGCTTTAACAGCAGCAGATTTGATACACTGTAGTGAGAATTAGTTACCTAGAAGATAGATGAGAAGAATCCATACCAGATTAAAGCTCAGAAAGACAAAGGAATGGAAAACAGAGAAGAAATGTAAAGGACGAAGTAAGAAAGTCTAACGTACGAGTAAAGAAAAAGAATGGGTCAGAAGAAATGTTTGAAGAAATAATGATAGAGAATTTTCCTAAACTGACAAAAGATATCAAACCAGATCCAACTAGCCCAAGAAAACTTAACAGTATAAATTTTTAAAAATTTACACCTAGTCACATTATAGTAAAAACTGCTAAAAATCAAAGACAAAAAGAAAATCTTAAAAGCAGCCAAACCCTTCCCACCAGCAAATGTTACTGTCAAAGGAGCAATAAGTAGACTGATAGCTAACATGTCAACCACAGATAACGGAATGATCTTCAAAGAAATTTCTAAAAAAATAATCTACCAACTAGAATTCCATATCTAGCAAAAATGTTAATTAAAGTAAACCCCTAATGAAATAACAGATCTAGGTGATGATCATCAATGGTCACTAACATCACAAAACAGATAAACTGGATATTTCATTCCTCTGATGGAAGCACATACCACCCACCACCTACGAAGTATTCTTTCCAAAATACTGAATAGAATCTGATCATGCTGCTAGGTTTAAATGACAATTCTTAGGAAATACAGGGGTAAAGGAAAATATTAAATAAAACTACGGATATGCGATCAGCATATTCCAGGATGTGGGGACCCTATGTAGAGCAAATAATTTGGTTTCTTCGGCAACAACAAAAAGTAAAGAGGAGGGCCTACAGATTAAGAGATTCAAAATAACATCAACCAAGTGTAATGTATAGATCTTGCTAGAATCCTGACTTCAAGAAATCAAAAGACATGGATATGGATATGCATATGCATGTGTATATGTGTGTATGACAACTGAGGAAAATTGAGCACTGACTCGGTATTTGGTTATATTAGGGAATTACTAATATATTTTTAGACAGCATAATGTGTTGTGGTTATGGTTTTTTTAAAGTCCTTATGGTCTACAGACACATCTGAAATGCTAATGGATGAAATGTAATGCTTCTGAATCTGATGCTTGCTTCATAACAATTCAGCAACAGTGGCATGGAAAAGATGGAACAAAAGTGGCCACAATTTGTAATTGTTGAAGCTGGGTAACTGCTACATGGAAGTTCATTATACTAAGCTCATAACTTTTATGTAAATATAAGAGAGAAACACATTTAAACCATAAAGATACATTTATAACTGAAGCTATAATTATAGGTGAAGCTATAATAATAACAAAGCAGACTTCAAGGCAAAAAAACATTGTTGGAGATAAAAATGGACACTTCATAATGATAAAAGTTGAACTCACCTGGAAGATGTAATAGTTCTAAATTTGTACCCATCTACTAATATGACCTCAAAAATATAAAGCAAAAATTGACAGAACTACATGGATCAATTGAGAAAAAAAATCACAATCACAATGAGAGATTTTTTAATACATCTCTCTCAGTAACTGATAAAGTGAGCAGAACAAAAAACGAAAAACTAGCAATATATTAGAGTTGATCAACAGAATTAACAAATTTGCTCTAATGAACAGATATAGAAGCCTATATTCAACAAATACAAAATGCTGTCTTTTCAGGCACACAGAGTATTTATCAAAACTGACTCTGTTTTGAGTTATAAGTCAAATGCCAACAAATTCCAAAACACTGAAATTATACACAGTATGTTTCCTAAACAATGCAATTAAGCTTGAAATAGCAAAAACAGGCTTTTAAAAATCATCAAATAGTTGGAAATTGAGAAATACAATTCTAAATAACCTAGGAGAGCAAGGAAGAAAGCACAATTAAATTTAAAATATATTTAAACTAAATATAATGAAAAATCTTTTTTCTCAGAACAGGTGGGATGCAGCAAAAGCAATGCTTAAAAGACATTTAGACACTTAAGTGAATATATCAGAAAAGAAAAAAGGTTGAAGATCATTAAGTATCCATCTCAAAAAGTTAGAAAAAGAACAGCAAATTGACTACAAAGCCAAAGGAAACAGGAATAAAAGTTAATGAAATAAAAAACACATATACAAAAGAGAAGATCAACAAAATCAATAGTTGGTTCTTTGTAAAAATCATTAAAACAAATAAACACCAAATGAGACTGATCATGAAAGAAAAGAAAGCACGCACATACAGCCAATGTCAAGAATGAAAAGTGGGAATTGAAGACACAAGACAGGCCCTGTCCTTTGTAGCCATGTTTGATGCCACATGGCTACATGAAACCTAGGAGGACCAGGAAAGACCTCAGGGATAGTACCTACACTGTGGTTTCGAAATTCTTTTCAGAAAGTTAAAATCTTAAAGTCATGTTATCTTAAGTTAAAAAAGATAATCATAAAATGTCTGAGTCATTTATAAGGTAAAATACTAAAACATTAATTGTTAAACGTAAGTTTAAGTTTATATACCTTGATGTCTTATTTTTATATGATATAAAAAACTAAATATATTTAGGTGTGCCAATAAAAATTGGGAAGTGACTAAAAAAAGAATGAAAAGTGGGACATAAGTACAGATGCTGCAGACACTAAAACAGTTCATAATAAGGATATTAAGAATAAATTTTTGCCAATAACATCTGAAAGTTCAGATGAAACAGAAAAATTCATAGAAAAATATTATAATTTTGCCAACTCACAGAATTGAAAAATCTGAATAATCCTATAACTATGAAAGAAATTAAATATGTAAAGGGAATTTCCTTTTGCCTTTTATATACTGTTTCCCAAAAACAGTAGGGGGAAAAACCTAGAATAAACATATCATATTTAAGGGTGAAATGTGAGACTGGAAACAAGGATGCCCACCATCACTATTTCTAGTCAACACTACATGGGAAGTTCT